TTGCAGCACCAGTTTTCATATCCCTGGGGAGGTAGCAAATGTGGGATTTCATAACAGAGAGGAAGAACTCAAAAACCAAGAGCTGAGATGATGGAGCCATGACCAAAGTTTTGATGAAGCAGCTGGGAAAGAAAGTACAGCTTTTAGAAGCATTGCATAGAAAGAAGCTGCGTCATTTCAGGTCTAGTCTGAATATGCATATTTAAAAAGAGACAAAATCAGAATGACATCCAGATGGCAGGCTTAAAAGAAAGATCACCATAATGCTTTATGTAATGACAGGGAAAAAAAATACTTCAGGAAGTGCTTGAGGGAAAGATCCAGAACTTTGTTTTACATTGGCAGCCTTGCAGAGAAGTGGGTTTGGAAGGTTAGGAGACGTGTATGCAGTAAGTGACATATTGAAAGCTAAAAAGCGCTCCGTGAGAACCTAAAAGCTTAATTAGAAAAAACTTCTTCTCAGGCTTAGCACAGAAAAAAGTTACAAAAATCTTTGGGACATGAGTCAAAGTGGCAGGTAACTCTAACTCTGAGTTATACCACTGATTTAGGATTATATATGTTCTTATCCCTTGTTTACTGACCTTGCTCAAACAGGACATAAGCATCACCTCTCCTGTGGATAGTTTCACCTAAAGGACATCCATGTGCTGCAATTCCCATCAAAGACTCCACTCTTGACCATAAGAATATTTGACGAAACTGGATTTCTCAAAACCATAAAACAAAAAGCTTGGAGAAAAAAAGACATTAAAAAATTTGGTTTTCCTTGGAATAGGAAAGTAAGACCTAATTCAGAAGAAAAGAACTGATAATTTTTCTTGTCTATACAAAAAACATAAGCTATTTAATGAGCAATGAATGCCCAGAAATTGGAAGAAAAATAAGCTGTTTCTCCTCAGACACACTTATTAGTTTCTATCTGAGTAAAAACTATTTTCAGCCAAGTAACTACAGCTTTTTATAAATCTTCATCTATTTTTACATCTACCTATTCCAGTAAAGTAGTCTGTAGTAAGCACTTCAAAATGTGTCATTTTCTTTGAGGCTTGAAACTGATCTACAAACAAAAGTCCTAATTTTTTTTTGTATTTTTTTGTTTTCTTCTTTAATGTTTAAGATGGGCTTGTCGATTTTTATTAATTACTATGATTAACTTAGCAACTCACATGTGTTTATACCCAGTAATAATTACAGAGAAATAATATCCCACAAGAAAAGAGTAAAATAAACTGTGTAGGAATAGTATGTTTAGACAAGATTGTTTAAAATTTGTGATGCTATATGTTTTCGCTAACATTTACATAACTACCTTGAGCAATTAATGTGAGGGGGAATATATGGGCGTTTTTTTAGGGAATGCACCAGCATCATCTCTTTAGTGAGCAGCTCAGGTTCTACACACCTGGGCATTCAGTCAACCCTCTACCAAACCAAGCAATCCAATCTTGACTGATTTGATATATGTGATTCCAGGTATATTGGGATAATATGTATTTATCTATTTTTATACATGTATTGATTTATCTATTTATTTAATTATGTTACTAGGATAAAAAAGAGGCAGACAGGAAACCTAAATTAGTGCCTTTTAGACCTTAAAAATGAGAAAGTGATCCCAAGAGGAAATTTCTCCACAAATCACTTCCAAATTACTGAATTACTGCTTGAAAGAAGACTCTTACTCTGTTGGAAAGGTGTGTGTACCTTTCCTGGTCCCTTTCAAGATGAAGGCAGTAAGTAGGGGTACAAACTTTAGTTGTGACACAGAGGTTAGCTCAGAGCAGATGACATTCCCTCTGGAGCAGAGTGGCCATGTCCATGTTGTGCCGTGGAGGTGATGCTTTCATCCCCTACACCACAAACCCCTTTCCATCCAGTGTGGTCATGGCTGACCCATCTTCCTCACACTATAGGACCTGAGGGGAGCATTCCCCAGAGGCTGATGAGCTCCACACATGCCCTTGGTTGCTGTTTGTACCCCTTGCAGGGTCTTCATGGCATCTTCTGAGAGCTGTCTCTGGGTCAGAGAGATCCCAGGGGGATTGCGTTGTGGCGTCCATTCCTTGGTGGATAGCTGCATCCACCACTCCACGATGCAGGGGCCGGTTGGGGGCTGTCTCTCAGGAAAGGCAGCTGCCATGCAGCACCACAACTTGCCCCCAGTGAGAGTGCAGAGCCCTGCAGCTCCTAACTTGCTGCAGAGAACTCATGGGTGGCAAGTTCAGAGTTCAGAGCTGAGGTAGCACCCGAAACTCTGTCCCCGTGCCGGCGTCGGTGTGCGTCCCTAATGGCAGCACGTGCCACCTGCACGAGAGTGGTTTGGAGAATTCCCAACGTGCCAGAGTCACACACGCCCCACAGAGCTGCCCCTCTCACACACTGCCCCTCTCCTGTCACACTGCAGGAGGGCCCCTCCAGCCTGGTGGGGCTCAGCAGCCCAGCTCACTGCACAGTGTGGGGGGCTTTGGAAGGGGATGAACCAGCAGTGCTGTGAAAGGCAATTCCACAAGCCACAGCTAAACTTCCTTAGCCAGAAAATGAGCGACCTTAATTAGTGCACACAGCCACTCCATGTTCCACTACAGTATGATCTGAACCTGTGCGCCCACCAGATTGAGAAACTGGGTCTTTTCATTCATGACCAAAATTGCTAAACACTGCTGGTTTCTGTTCCACTCATACAAGATATAGAAAACTTCTTATCACCTTATGCTCATGAGCTTGTTTGCTTTCTTATATTTATGATGATTCTGCAGAGCTACAAGAGGCAGCATAATAAGAAGATGGTTCTTTTGTAGAAAACACAGAGCTATCCAAACCTGTCTTTGAACCTCAGCCTTGAGAACAGCCACATTTTCATACACCTTTCCATCATTCACAATCCTCCTATCCCAAAATGGAGAATCAGCTTTTATCACCTATCCCAAGATTTCTCTGCTGCTCACCTTGCAAAAACCTGAAGGCTTGTGGGCATCTCTTAGTTGGCTTCTATTGCTTTTTTAGAGTTGGCAAGATAGCGCAGCCAAGAAAGCCACATTTCCACTTCTCACCAAAGCTCCCACACCAGTACTGCTCTAGATCCACTTAGGAGATAGTCAAGATTGATATGAGAAAGAAAGGGAAAGTTTGGTAGGTTTGACTAAATCATCTGAGTCTGACAACATTTGTTGTAAGCTACATGACTAGCAGCCTCAGAGACATTGGTGGTTACCCTTAGAACTTTATAGAAAGTGAGCAAGAAGTTGAGAAGAATGTTAAAAAGGCAGAAAAGGAAGAGTAGAAAATTGTTTACTCTAATTTCATTTTCTAGAAGAAAAAGTATTAAAACAAATAATTAAACTATTTGTAAATATGTCTAAGAAAACAAGGAGGCAACTGACAACAAATATGTCCTTCTTCAGGAAAAAATGGTGTCAAATCAAAATATTGTTCTCCTGTGATCCATTAACAGGCATTTGAGTAGGAGGAAGCAGTACGTATCCTATACCTTGATGCTGTCTTTCATGATTCACTTTGTTCAGGCTGGAGAAGGCTCCAGGGAGACACAATTGTACCTTCTAATATCTAAAGAGAACTGACAAGAAAGATGGAAAGGGACTTCTTACACAAGCATGTCATGACAGGACAAGGGGAATGGCTTCAAACTGAGAGAGAAGGTTTGGATTACTTATTTGGAAGAAAATCTTCCCTATGAGGTTGGTGGGGCCCTGGCACAGGTTGCCCAGGGTGGGTGGTTGATGCCCCATCCCTAGAAGTGTTCAGAGCCAGCTTGGATGGAGCTCTGAGTGGTCTAGTGGAAGGTGTCCCTGCCCGTAGCAGGGGGATTGGAATGAGATGATCTTTAACGTCCCTTCCAACCCAGGCTATTCTATGGTTTTATAATTCTCTGTGCTTACAATTAGGCGTTATTACATAAAGCCTGTGTTATGTTAGATGGCAGCAGTAAAGCTGGAGCAGGACAGGTAGGACAGCTGGACCCAGTGATTTCCAGTGGTTCATTGACAAAATTGAGGGCAGCAGCACACAACAATCCAGAAGGTGTCACACAATCTAGTATTATTAAATATTTTAGTAATAACCTAGATTATGAAACAAGAAAGCACATGTCCTACATTTTCAGAGGCTGCATGCTAGGGAAGAAAACAAGACTTGTGAATAACCACAAGAATTAAAGAAAAGTTCTAAAAAAAAGAGAATGCAATTCAGAAACAATGCACATATTGTTCTGCCTGTAGACAAGAATTTGTTAGTTATTTGATTGCAGCTAAGTGTATTAAGGAAAAAAACCTGGAAAAAATACTTTCTCTTTCCTTGGTGCTTTTCCTTGCTTCTTGGTATTTTACATCAACTGAGCCTGCACTCCCTCCTTTTACATATATACTTTCAGAAATATCCTTCCTTGTATTTTATTTCTCTGGCTAACTTACAGAGTAATTTCCACGATAAAGTCTTGTATTATCATTTTAGTATAACTCTTTAGCATGATGACCTACATTTAATTTTCTGCATATTTCCTCCTTATGCTGAGATCAAAGGAGAGCTAATGATTGAGGCACTGGTCTGACTGAGATTCCCATCCTCCTTTTGCACTGAAGTGATATGTGCTTGTGCTTTATGGCATTTATTTAGCAAACTGCCTACTCTGCTATTTCCTATAAACTTTTGTAAGGCCACTCACTTCCAGCCTTGGTTATATTTCCCTTCACCCTTCATGACCCATTCCCACTGATTAATGCTGAGATGCAATTTTTCTAGAATTCATTGTCCCAGTATTTCTGTACCTCAGCTGGATGCAGAGATCTGTCTGCTTAGCTCTGAGAACTCTAAATCCACAGAGGAGCAAAATGCACTAGGAATCATTTACTGAAATGCATGACCTTGAAATAGCATAGTTCCACAGCACAGATGGAGTTTACCAGATGTCTGAGGCTAGGAAATTATGAGATTTAAAAGAGTCAGTACTTCAGAGTAGTTTAAAAAAAACTGAGATTACTGGATAGGATAGAGATACTGCAAGTATATTTAAACAAGTGGATCTACATGTGGATCCATGACTTTGGTGCCCAGATTAGTTTGCCTCTCCAGTGTACACTAACCTGTGCAATGCAAGCACATCCTGAGCACAGTGAAAGGTTCTCTCTTCATTGGTATGCAATGTGGGGCTCTTCCCTGAACCATCAGCACTGCTGTGATGGCAATAACCCCTCTGCTGTTGGCTGTCCAATGTTTGGCTCTTCAAGCTGTCATGTTCTGATTCGCTGTTGGTGTCTGAAATGACCAAAAATCCATGCAATGTGGCATCATCATCTAGGCCCCACAAGAAGAGCTGTTCTTCAAAACAATTACATCATCTTTTAAATTTCCAGTGCTAAAAATATGCAGGAAGGATTCTTCACCCAGAGATGTCTTGAAGCAGTGCTGTTGTTAGCAATGGGGTTTGTACAGCAAGGTCCTGTCTGGAGAGAGGTTCATAAATACATAAGCATTACTCTTTCAAGGACTAAAAGCTGCCTGGGGACATGAATTTCTTTAAAATAAATACATTTCCATCTCCACTCTCTTTTTCATCCATCTTATCACCAAAGTGCCACATTTCTTTGTACCTCCAAGTTGCCCCGACAGTTGAGGCTTCCCTTATTATTTGGGTCAGCTCAGCTAGTGATCACAGCAGCCTATGGAACACAACAGGGCATCTGTGCTGCTAGAGAATAAAGAACAGGTTAGTCTGGCTGTGTTTTCAAATGTCACAGCTAGCTGAAATCACAGCTATCGTTTAGGGAAACTCTCTTTTCTCAGCCTACAGCAATTTCCCTCAGCACTGTCATTTCTTCACATAAGGGTTACTGTGGGTGAACAGGAGAAGGTTCAGCAGTTCATTTTATTTGGGTATGAGAATTGAAATACCAATGTAAAAATCTTGTAAAATGTATCTTTTCCTCCTGTTTACCATTCTTGCTGTATTTTCCTCCCATTCCTTGTTGGCAAACTCTCTCTCCACTGATTTCCTCTGCCAGTCTTTTTCTGAGATGCCACCACTGAGTCCTGCAGTGTAGTGGGATCAACCCACTACACCAACCCCTCTGTACACCTCAACACATGATGAACAAGGATTTCAGCACCCTTTCCATGCCCTTCATGTCATCAGCAGGCCAGGGAGCCCCTTCTCAGGATACAAGGTATTGTGAGGCACTGCTGAATGCCAGCTCAAGGACCTATTTGGAAAGGTGTTTTTCCAAAACTCAACAGACATACACTGCACAAGTGAGATTGCTGTCTTCTGGCTTGCTCCAGCTTAGGTTTGGGGACACAGGAATGGAAGAATAATTGCTAGAGGAGAGGAAATAGCTTGTTGCAGACTTTGAGCAATTCCTCTTTCACTCCTTTTCCTCCTGCCCCAACCTTCATACCTCAAGGAAACCCTATACACATAGCAAAACACCCTACATTCACAATATCTACTGTCCAGCTTCAGAGGCACTTGATATTTTGGTTCAAAGGTGATACTAGGAGATTTTGCCAAATTCCTCATGTTTTGACCTGTGAGGCTGTTGCCAAGCAGAAAAAAGACCTTGTTCAAATATGTGAAATGAGGTTGTACTGAGATGTCAGCTGAGGAATTAGCATTTAATTTTCATATTTGTCCAAGTTGTTACTTACCATTAATTTAAAGAAGCAGTACTAGTGGATCACATTAGTGGATTCTGCACCAGCATGTTGTAAGATCCAGTTTCTGTCACAAGGAAATTACCATCTAGACAGACAGAAGAAACATTCTCCCATTGCAGACAGGGCATTCAAGAACAAACATGCCAGGGAATATGCCTGAGGACACCCAGAAAAACTACATCAGTCAGGTGAGCCATATTGGGGTATGAACAACACAAGCTCTTTACTTATTGTTGCTCCAGACACTCTGTATCTTCTCCTAAATCAGTCTATTAATTCCTCACCAGGAACACCACAGGTGAAGAAACCATTGAAATCTATTTTCTTTTTGTTGTCTTTATTTATGTACATGAGAACAAGAGACTGAAGTCAATAAGAACCAATGAGAGCAACATATCTGCTGTAGGAATTAATTACCTTTAAATATATATTTTAAAACAGATACTATGCTTTTTTATACTCCTATTCACTGAAAATAAGAACCTATCTGAAAAACAGAAAATTTATCTACCAATGAAAAAATGGGGAAAATCAGGTAAAAATAAACAACGCAGCTTGATAAGAAGTGCACAGTAAACAGACATTTCACTGAGAAGGAGATTTTTCAGATATTTCCATGACATGTTGTTGCCACTTGAAATGTGGTGCCTTCTGGTGCTGTCTCAGAATATCTGGCAGAACATGTTGTATGTAATCAGACGCTATTTTTTCAATGTACAATTTTTTAAAATTCTGTCTTCTCTGATAAGCATCGTGCAAGACAAATGTCCTACTTGCCAAATAATTTCTTTCAGAAAAATTGAACAAACACATTTCTAGGATTTTCTGTTCCTAGCAACTCCAACTCCCATCTTTAAAAGTCTTAATGCAATAAAGCAAAATCTTTAAGATGCTTTGGCTCACTGTCAAATCTCCTACTAAGGGAAAGTGTATTTAAAAGGTATTTAAAAATAGTAGTAGTCACACAAAATCATAATGGAAAAAAACTATAATAATAATTACATTTGCCATTAAATATAAATATATCTTTCTATTACATAGAATAAACAGTCATATTGAGGAGCTTACACTTGTGAGCTCACTGAAATGTGGGCATTCACCACTCACCAAACTCACTCATGTACTCAAAACACCACTTGCCTTTACTACTTTGTAGTAAATGTATGCTAATGAATAATATTCCAGTTAACTCTTACCCAGCTAAATAATTTCTTGGCTCCCCAGTCAGAAATTTTGCATGGACATTCTCCAAAATCATTGTCAAGGCTACGGCCTGATTTTAATGAGCAATGTCTCAAAAAGCACAAAGGACAAAAAGGAAAGTGTTGAAAATGAAAATCAGCAGAGACGTTAAATAACACGTTCAGTGGTGACAAGAGAGCTGGCAAGATATCCAACCCCAAGGTCAGCACATCTTCCCTGGCTACAACAGAGCTTGTGAAGGAAACCAGCAACTTTTTCTCACATTATCACATTGGCAGGAGCTGGGTGGGGAAGTGCAGAAAGTGACCTGCAGTTTTCCTGGGTCTGGCATCAAGTCTGGTGTCTTAGATTTGCACTTCTTCAGAAGAGCTCCGAAGATGCAAGGAAATATTTGCCTACTTGGCTCCCGGCAAATGAAAACATTGAAATTCTTGCCTGAGCACTGCCTGCTAACAAGGAATGCAGAGAAACAGGAGTGGATCGGGAGACAAGAATTTTTGCACACCTTTTTCCTCTGCCCATGTTCCTGTTAAACATTCCTTGTCCTGTTGTAGGTGACCCCATGGACCTGCTGTCCAGGCCTCCTCCCAGTGCTGAGCTGGGCCACAGGCAGAGGCACAATGGGAGGCCTCACGTGGTGGCCAAGGCAGCTCCTCAGGACACCCAGAGTGAGCTGGCTTTTTCTGAACAGCATTTGCTTGGGGGAAGAAGAAAAAGACATTGAGTTTCTCAAGATCTTGTGGCCCTTGTCAGCCACCCTCTAAATCCTGCAGCCTTTGTCCAAACTTCAGTTTGGACTTCGGGAGTCAGAGTTCTGACTGAAGCATCCAAGACACTGCTCTCCACAGATTCCCCTTTATAACAACCCCATTCTCCCATTCAGACCCCACCGCAGGGCAGCTCCAGCTACGTAACCCACGAGGACTGCCAGTCAGAGGTCAGCCCACTGATGGACCAACCAACGTTTGCAGACATCCCAGCAGGCTGCCCCAGGAGGCCTTGTGGTCTCTGTGTTTCCCCCTGCTCCATCATCAGCTTCAAAGGGGATTCCCAAACCTTCTTCCCAAGCAGGATCATCACAGCATGGAGTGGAAGAAGCTGAGAGCCCTCTGTGCTGTTGGGGGTGAAGCCATACTGGCACAACAGCAGGGAGCAGGGCTAGTTTAACCACATGCTATGAAACACTGTGAATAAATGGAATGTGCTTTTTTCGTTGACTACAATATGGCAGCTCCTGATTGACAGACTAGACACAAATGTGCAAACTGCACAGGCTGCACAAGCAGTGCAGCCCTGATGGCTGTTGTGTCCTGCACAGCTTCTGCAAGGAACTGGATGAGCCTTTCCATCTGGGCCGAGCAAGGACTGCTTCTTCAGCAGCTTTATGCTCATCTCTGCAGTCTGTGGGTAGGTGGAGCAGCCAGAGGACCCTCTGTGTCTGACCATGCCTTCATTAGCAGGGTCAGCTGAGCATGGCAGGGTGGGGTTCAATGACTTTTCTATTCCATTCTGTTTTCCAGAGGAAAAGTTTAGGTGTGTCTGCTTTACCCTTACTCCCCAAGGCACCTCAATCTGTGCTTCTGAAGAAGCATGGTTTCTCTGACTGTGTCTGCCCTGGCCCTCTGAGGTTTTTTTGACCTTTTGAGCATTCTGGCATGCAGCTGTGACTGCTGCCTCCACAACCCTCAGGAAACATCACAGGCTAAGGGCTACGTGTTTCACTAGAGAAAAACGTGGCTGACAAGGGGCTGTGCCATGCAGCTCAGGAAAGGGGGGAGGATGAGGAGAGATTTGCTTGCTGGCTGCTTCCTGGGAGGCCATGGAGAGAATGGCAGAAGGAATAAGGCTGTGTAAGCAGCTTGTATGGATGGGGGAGGAGGAGTTGATGAGGGCTAGAAAGGCAAGGAAAGGAATCAGCTGGTTGGATCATGCAGGACTAAAAAAGCACCCTTCACCAAGGAAATCCTTTCTCCCTCCTGTCCACAGTGACACAAGACTTTCTATCCTGTCCCATTTTCTTTTTCTCTCTAGAGAAACTGGCCATTTCCTCTTCCACCAAGGCTTTTGGCCAACCACTCTATTCATGGAGTGGCTGCTGAACCTCACAAAAGCCCACCTGCAGCCTAGGTGGTTTTAAGCCTCTCCATCTTGTGGAGAAGAGACTCCCAAAAGGTCACCGTGTGGTACAGAGCCTGCTGTCATTTTGTCCCCTTCAGCCCACACCTAAAGAGGACTCTGAAGAAAGGAGGACACAGCAGACACTATTCCTTTTGTTCCCTTAACAGCCTACCTGGCACTTCTTGGGAACACAACCAGTGGAGCAAGGAACTATCCTGGCAGAAGATGCAACTTGTACCCCATGACAATTTCACTGACATCAGGTAAATCCAAACAAAATGAAAATCCAAACAATGAACAGACCAGAACTTTTGGCTGCATCATCAAGTAACTTCTAGTGATGGGATTCTTATAGCCCTATTGATGAGTTTGCTTTCTCCTGCCTTGGGCCCTATCCTGGCATTAAGATTTTTTACACTTAGGCCCAAAGCAATCAAAAGGCTTTGGCTTCCAAATACTTCCACTAAGCCATGCCTTAGAATTTGCTGAAAATGCTTCTCACTTTGTTGAAAGCAAGATTTCACTACACGTTTGATCAAATTTCTTTGCAATTCCACTCTCAGAAAAGTAATTTCTCATTTCATTGTAGGAAGTCACAAAAACAAGCCTGTCATTCATCCATGCCCTCCAGGCTTTTTGACTCTTCTTTTGGCACTTGCCTTAGGGTTGAAGAATCTTCATAGATAATCAGGCAATGAAGGGTAAATGCTTTTCAGTGTGGGAAGTAAAGGATAGGCCTTTCTTTTAACAGAAACAATGTCTAATGTTGACAAAACTTCAGTTTTGTTTTTGACCTTTTAGTGTGATGCTATATCTGAGCATGGATTCATCCTCAGCACTTCTTTCTTTCATGTCAGTCTGTATTTAATAACGAGAGGCATAGTGCAAAGAACACCTTTTCTGGCCAGGTGGGAATGGATTGCTCACAGTTATAGACATTACATCCAAAGCAGCAAAGTTGTATTATTTCTGTGTCTCAATATATAAAAAAGCTGCCCTAGGGATAACAGGAAGATCTAAGTAATATACACATAACATAAGGGCTCCTGCTGTGTATTTTTGACACTCCTTAAGAGTGAGAATTAAGATCTATGACTCCCAGCTCTCAGCTGATAACTCAAGACGGGCTGCAGTGACTGCACAGAGCCTTTCTGAAATCAAATTGGTCTCTGTGCAAACACAACAGGTCACATGGGGGCTGTCAGACAAGAACAGTTTAGAACTGCAGCATGTATAGAAACAAGCCCTGTTTCCTGCACCAGGTGAAGCTTACCTGATAGTGGTCTCTGACTCAGTTCTGTGACACAGGGACTTGCTTTTGCTGGGGACATGGACAGCAACTGCCACCAGCAGCTCATAGCTATGCAAAGAGGTGATCTCTGGTGGAAAAAAAAACCAACCATCACCGAATAATTAATCTTGCATTCCACTTGAGATCTCTCCCACACAAACAGGAGAAGGTGTGTCACGATTGAGATCACTGCCAAAATAGCACAGCATGGCATTTTACAGTTTAATTTTTTCAACAGATCATTTATTCTTTCTGTAAGAGTTAGCTTGACTGGAGCTCTCATCCTTGGAATACCAGGGTGAACTTCATAAAATGCAGTTTACTTTTCCTGAGTGACCAACAAGACCCCTGTGGGAAGTGCAGCAGACTGCACTCTCCTTAGCTGAAACTGATGCTCAGGAAGTTCGACCTGAACATGAGGAGGAACCCCTTTACTGTGCAGTGACCAAGCACTCACCAGGCTGCACAGAGAGGGTGGGGAGTGTCATTCAATGGAAATATTCCAGAACCATCTGGATACAATCCTCTGCCATGGCATGACCCA